ACAACTTGAGAACTTGAATCACACAAGCCTCACTTTCTTACAACAACAAGACTTGAGTCACACAAGTCTTATGAACAATTACTCAAAAGAGATTGAGTTATACAACACAAGAATGAAAGCTCACACAATTGAGCAAGTAGTGTTTGAAAGATTTAAGCTCTATGGATGACAACTTCTTTAGCACTCAAAGAAAATATTTCTAACTCTCAAAAATAATATTTTGATGAGGAAGATGAAGCAAAGGATGAATATAGCTCAAAGAATATATTGGAGTGCAAGAGATGTGTATTGAAATGAAGGAGAATGAGGGATTAAATAGGCTGAGGAAAATAAAGCCGTTGGAGCAGGCTGAGAATATGCACTAGATAAAATTAATCGATTAAAGTAAAAGTTTAAATCGATTACGGTACACAGAAGCGAATAGCCTGAAAAGAAACCTGAATCATAATCGATTAAATGAAGACAAATAATCGATTAGGAGGTTCTGTCCAAGCTAATCGATTTTCTTAGAAGAAATAATCGATTAAGAGTTGAAACCTGAGAAATTGCGCTGGATCTAATCGATTATCTTAAAGGATATAATCGATTAAAATGAAAAATAATGCGCAAACACAAAGGGCCCAAGCCAAGTGCGATTGGAAGCACTTTGGCTTCTAACTCGTTGTTTGGGACAACGAGAATAACAAGGCACGCTCCTGGGATTTTATCTCCTATTCAATGAATTTGAGTAGGGGAGAGAAAAAGAGTCCAAAAAATTATTTTGTGTGTCAAACAATACACGAAAAATATTTAAAGTATATTTTTCTCACCAAAGAAAATTGTGTAATCTTAAAAAATGTTTTAAAGAAATTTTGACACACTTATTTTGAAACTGACTCACTAAAATATTTTAGATAGAGTAAAAGTGGTTTTTCAACTGACTCAAAAATAATTTTTATCCCTCACAAAAATAATTTGATTGTGCAGAAGATAATGTCATCCTTACAAAAACTCCTAGACTTAATAAAAAAATCTTCGGAGTCTTCGCTTCACTTCAAAAAAACTGCGTAGGGGTGAGCGTGAATTTTATCGTCGAAACTTCTTGATGCCCTTCTTTGCTTTTCTCGATCCGAAAAAAAAGTTTTCGAATATCGATTTAATCATCCTGTTTGTCAATCATCAAAACAAAAATAATCCAAAAAATAATAAAGGGGTTTGAACTCATGTCCAACAGTGATGTCCTCGCCAAAGCCTCTTGAACCTGTCTTTTCACTGCCCTGAAGATTGTTTCGAAGTAGGCCTCGAAGGCTGGTTGAAATAACATTTGGATCTTCTTTTCTTCACCTTCACGTTCCTTATATATATATATATATATATATATATATATATATATATATATATGATCATCTTCTCCACCGCTTCATTCATCCTTCTCATCGGCTCTCTAAGATCATAGAAATGGCGGATGTGGAGTACAGATGTTTCGTCGGTGGCTTGGCATGGGCCTCCACCGAAGACACCCTCAATGACGCCTTCGCCAAGTATGGGATCGTGGAAACGAAGATCATCAATGATCACGATACGGGAAGATCTAGAGGATTTGGATTCGTCACCTTCAAGGACGAGGGCTCCATGAGGCAAGCGATTGAAGAGATGAACGGCAGTGACCTTGACGGACGTAACATAACCGTCAACGAGGCCCAATCGCGCAGCGGAGGTGGCGGAGGGGGTGGAGGTTACGGCGGTCGCCGCGAGGGAGGTGGTGGAGGCTATGGTGGTGGTGGCGGATATGGCGGAGGTCGCCGTGAGGGAGGTGGCGGAGGAGGCTATGGTGGCGGCGGCGGTGGATATGGTGGTGGCCGCCGTGAGGGAGGCGGAGGAGGCTATGGAGGTGGCCGTGATAGAGGCTATGGAAACGGCGGCGGCGGCTATTCCAGCAGGGGTGGCGGTGATGACGGAAACTGGAGGAATTGAGCTTTTGTCCAATTTCATCCATGGTCATTGTTTTAACGTTCCTCCGTTTGGTCTGTTAGGCGGTAGTGCTCTGATGTTAAAGGGGTATACTGTAATCCGTCTTGGTGTTTGAGATTCTGTTACTGTTCTGTTTGATTTCGATGATGTGTGGGGTCTGTTTGTTACCGAGTTCTTGATGAATGGGAAAATGGATGGTTTGCATGTTCAAAAAAAATATATATATATATGTGTGTGTGTGTGTGTGTGTGTAGGCATTTTATTCTTTTTTGGTGTTATATATCTATATTATTTGTATTGAAACTCATATTTAAAAGATACTCCGTAAAAATTTAAGCTCCTTTTTTAAAATAAATTTCTTCATCTTTTAATCATAATTTTTTTATGCCTATAAAATATACTATGTTTAATTATGCCTTGATGTGCAATAACTTAGGTTTTGTGTGTGCGCGCGCGTGTGTAAATATAATATTTTAGAATAAATGTAAAGGATACCTCATGGTCTCAAAAAGGGTGTGTGTGAATAGTTAAAAAAGTTTAAGTTATTTCCTTTAATATAATATATCTAGCATATCTAATTGGTCATACATAGTATTATTCAAATAATGAACTGGAGCATAAAAAAATAGAGCTATCAATTCGTAATATTAAACGCATGAAACTCACAAACAAAGCTATTAATTTTTGGTCACAATGTTCAATCAATAAAAAAATCTTGAAATTACGTTTTTTAGATATTATTGTTTGTAAAAAACGAAAAGCTTAAGTACTATTGTTTATGTAACGCCACAAAATATGGCCTAAAATTTATTATAAAACAAAAGTAGTTTTTATCCAATAAGGAATATTTGTACGTTTGACTAAAAATAAATGGATTTTAAAAATAATAACTTTTTGTTAAAATCTTATTTTTATGGATATGTCTCGAAAAGACAAATCCAACGGTACATTTTATAAACCAATCTGATTTATAGATTTCAAGCTATGACGATTTTAAATATTAAGATTTGTAACTTTGACCCATAAAATAAACTCAATTCAAAAGAGATTTCATAAGATTAGAAATCTTAATTTTTGACACTTGACAACAACATATTTATCATTTGGATTAAATAAATATATTTTTATATCATTTATATTATTAAATTAATTTATGACTGAGATAGACCCAAACACAGAAAAAAATAAAAGTTCTTAGAAAAATATTTTGATTACGTCAAAATTCTAGTTTTGACAGTCTGACTCCAAAAACATAATCCGTTTTCAATTCGGAGCAGTTTGGGCGAAAAAGCGCGTACCGTTTTACTCAGTTTAACAGTTACGGAGTAAGAAAATATTTTAAAATCCCTACTCAATCACGTATTCAGCCCATGATCTCCACTAGCCACCTCAATCTTCACAAAGTCTGTAACGACCCAAAAACCGGCTTAGTAGTTAGCCGTTATTTTAATAAAAATAAAAATAATATTTATTTACTCTAAAATATGAATTATTGGTAAAGTTATCCGTTTTAAATGAAAATTGGGTTTTCGGATAGATCACGAGAAATGGTGACCAACGGCATATAATTTGTTAAATTTAGACTTATATATAAAGCATGGTGAGTAAAATTGACATTACAGTCCAATAATTAAATAGAAAGATTTTATAATAGAATAATAATAAATAAATAATCTCCTAAAAACTAAGGTTACCTAAACTACCCAAATCCCATGATGGAAAGGAATCCCCAGCCCTCATCTACCCTCTATTTATATACGGAGTATTACCTAATGCGCAAAAAGAAAAAGAGAGAGCAGAGCCGACGGAAGAAAGCCGAGCAGAGCTGCGGCAGCTTTGTCGCCGGAAAACAGAGACGCAGAACCGCCGTCGCTGACCGCCGTGCCGCCGCTGGGATCGCCAGACCCCGCACTCAACACCGCTGCCGCTGTCTCGTGATCTTCTCCGTTTATCTAATTTGTCTAATTCGCCAATTAATCGAGGTCAGAACTTGCACATCTAACGCTAGATTATGTATATAGATTTGAAATTCACGTTCGTAGTTTCGTATGATTGATTACCACCAAATAAACAATGTTAACTTAATACTAAATTAATATAATATACAATAACAACCTCAACTAACTTGTTCCTACTGGTCCATGCAAAAGAATGAAGCTTAAACACACTTTTGCATGACGGTAAGTAGAAGGTGTTACACCTGACACTAGGCCGCTAATTGAGTTGTATGATTTATTGTCTGATTAATGATATATTTATTGTTATGATTAAATATAATCCTGTTGGATTATGGAAGTAAATAAGGAAGTGAGATTGTTGTTGGAATAAGCTTGAATTATAGAGATGTTGTAAATAAATGATTATGCTATCTAGGGGAACTCTAGGACTGCCTTAGTAAGATTATAAGCATAAATGTCAATAGATAGGATCAGCCCTGCGAATCTGATATCTGGCGGCTGCGGGTTAAAACGTACGTACGGGATCCAAGAACTGTCGTTCCGAAGGGGACAGGGGTACCACCCACCCAGCGGAGAACTCCTTCGTTGGTCATCAGGTTGTGTTGTTTCATAAGGTATTAAATAAGGTAGACTTGAGTCATGGCCGTAGGTAGTGACTCTAAACCCGAACATAAGGTTGTAAATAAGGAGGTATGGACTTAGTCTGGTAATTATGTTATGAGCAACGAATAAAGAGGAAATAAGGTAATGATTTGTGACTGGTGAATTTATTTAATGATTGTTATGTGATATTTTACTGTTAAACTTGTGTGCATGATATTGTATGGAATTATGAGCTAGTGGGTTCGTCTATGTGCGTAGTCGAACGTTAGATAGATTCCACTCAGCTTCAATGCTGAGCGTGTAGCCCTTTTTCCTATTTGCTACACGTAGGTAACATGAATGATGAATAAAGAACTATCCTGGAGGGCAGCGAGGGAAGAGAGATGGATGGATGCTGGCTGGAGGATTTTATTATTTAATACTTAAGTTTGAATTAATTATGTTTTTAAGGGCAAGAACCCAAAGTTGTATTTTGATTAAATACTTAAAGGCTTCCGCACCGTTTTCTGAACTCCGATGAATATTTTAAAATATTGTTTTTGAATTAAATGTTTTAAATGTTCTGAAAATTATTGTGTCTGAATGCCAATCTAGTAGCAACCCGATCCGCTGGTCCTCGTATTCGGGTCACGCGGGTTGGGGTGTTACAAAGTCACCCCAAATTTCCCATCCAACACTAAAAATCAAAAGAAAAATATAATAAACAAAGAAAAGCTATACTATATCACCATCATCATCATCTCTTATCATCCACACACACAACACTCCTCTCTCCTCCCATTCTCTCTCCGTCGGCCAAACATCAAGAAAGGGGAAAGAAAGTTTTATCTCCATTGTTGTGCCAAGGAAGGAGAAGCAAGCAAGAAACCATCCAAAGTTTCCAAATGTTTAGCTCAAAAACGCAGCAGCCACTTTGAGGTAAAAACTGAAATTTTCCATCCATTATCTCGAAATACTTTCTGAGCAAAGGTTGTAGCCCCGGACGATACGAATCCAGCCCAACAAACGGCTCGCGATTTCGTTAAGTAACGAAGAAGATATGGCCAAAATACCGGGACTACGCCAGTGGTGGCGAGCTCCTCGGGTTGGCTATGTTTCCTCACCATATTAATGTTGTTTCATTCCAAACACTCACCATAAACTCTCTAACGGTTATTAGGAACATCCGGAGGTATCGTAGAGAAGGTTCGGTGTTGGAATATTGAAGTTAATGAATTAATTGTCGGAATCGTTGTTCATCGACATATCCGAAATCTTGGACAGCAACTATCCTTTGACTTCAGGTCCAATTTACGCTATCTTACATCTTCTAACTCGAATTACTTTCTATACGAAAGTTATAGCCTTACATCTTAGGAATCCACAGAATCAAGCGGTTTGTAATTCCGTGAACAAACGATGGAGATATGCCCAAAATACGGCAGGCTGTCCAATTGTGACGAGAATGACAAAGTTGGTGAATTTCGATGTTGTTTCCACTCCCGCTCATCCGTAAGGTTTCGGCCAATGATTTCCAGGTCTGTACCTTTGCGTTAGACTTGTCGAATCATTCATCACATACATACATGAACATATATATTAATCCATATGTTGAAATCATTCCAAAATATATATGTGATGCATATATAAGTCACCTATATGTTGAGATCAAAATACACCAAATCCATAAAGTTAATATATATACATAAGTATATATAAACATTTGAAATGAACCCAAGAAGATGTATTTGTTAATCAAAGGTGTTTAAAACACTTAAAGAAGTATTTTGGACACTCAAAATATCAAGAGAAAGATTCACAGACCCAAACGGTCGACGCAAACGGTCAACCGTCGTATTAAACTTCGAAACGGACCACGACTGCCAGCAGAACGGTCAACCGCTGTCGGCGAACGGTCGACCGCCGCCAACCAGCCGAAGTCCGCCATCCGCAGCCAGTCAACAACGGTCGACCGCCGGTCAACCACGGTCGACCGTCACGGTGATCCGCCATTCCGACAAAGTGAAGATCAAGGTCGACCGCCGTGCGAAATGGTCGACCGTTCCGAGCGCCGTAGCTTAATTAAATGATATTTTTATCAGATTTCACCCAAATAAAATAAAGTATATTTATCCATTCATATTATTTACAAATTGTTCATATCATATGACTCATATCATCACACATATTGTAGCATTTCATATCATATGCATGCGTAAGAGATCATGCGTAATTGCGTCTCTTATAGCTGTGATTGTGCGGGACTTAGTAGTCCGACATCACTGACCGGGCTTAGTGTACGTACATGGTATTCAGGCTTTCGAGTACCACCCCTATTTTTCTAGTCTCCCTTGTGAGACTAAGGCCGCTGAGTTCGTCGTACCAAATGGGCGAATTTCACAATGCAAGGGTCGTCCTTGTTGACTTAGAATCATGCATCATGTCATCATCATCAAGAACAAATATATTGATTTCATAGGTGTCATGTAATCATCATCAAGAACAAATATATTGATTACATAGGTGTCATGTAATCATCATCAAGAACAAATATATTGATTACATAGGTTTCATGTAATCATCATCAAAACAATTATATCTATTACATAGGTGTCATGTAATCATCCTTACGAACAAGCAAATTGATTAAATGTGCCATCATTTAATTATCAATAAATATTTATCATCATGAATCATCAAATTGATCATATGATATAATGTGCCATATCATGAATATTATTATACACCTTGTGGACGTATATATATGTATATCTCTGTTAATTATTCTACAATTCTAGCGTGGTACCACTCAGCGGTTTCGCTGAGCGTGTAGTTTGTATATTTCGTTGACTACACGTAGGTAACAAGAGGACAATGACGGAATCAGTCCTAGAGGGCATTGAGTCAGAGGAGATGCAAGGATGGCAGGCAAATGTTTGATCATCAAAGATTTTAAATGTGTCATGATTTGATTATTATTGTACTTCCGCATTACTCTGAAAATATTTTTAAATGGGTCGCGATCCAGAGTGTGTAAATTTAATATTTATAAGTAATTGTCATTTTCAAATGTCAAGCGAAATTTTTATTTAACTCTCGTTTCACCTTAATTCGTGTAATTACGGGTTATACGGATTGGGGTGTTACAGTTTATAAATATTAAGTTTGAAAAATTTTAAAAATAGAAACTTTGAGAATTAATATATACATGTAACGTATATACAACAACAACAACAACAACATTACCCCAGTGCCTCAACGGCTCTTGCCAATTGCGGGGTAAGGGGGGTTGGATGTACGCGGTCTGACTCCTAGCTATCTTTAAAACATAGAACGACTATTTCCAGATGATCCATAAACCACCATTTACTCTAAAAACACATAGCATGAATTGAAATAACATCAGGCTCTTTCTCTTAACTGAGGTAAGGTTTATCATATCATCTTGAGGTTTCGATGACCGACCATCCATGGTTTCTACAAAATCCACCATTAAATCTTGCAAAATAAAGTAAAATTCTATCAATAAAGGTATAAAATTCAACTTACATTTTTAGAGGGCCTGCATTTTTTTACAATGGATAACTCCAAACGCTTTCGTAAACTATAGCTAAACGATTGCTGCAAGTACATGTGAAAGTGAGACGGGTTTTGTATGAGGGAGAAAAAATGACCATACATTTGTTGTTATGACCTTCCTCGAAGCAGATGCTGGTGGAGGAGAAAAAGTAGTAGTTTTCCTGTGAGCTCTATGACCTATAAAATCATTCTATTTTTTAGACTAAAAAGAAATGGATTATAAAGACATGCACATATGGTTGACAAGAATTTGTTTAGGTTGCAGTATATAGAGAAGAAAACAAATTCTCCTCTTTACAATCGTAGCAAGAATAAGTTCCTGGGAGTATATAAGTCTCCTCTTTCAGTCAAAACTGGATGAATACTCCGGGACGGAGGGAGTATATATTAAGAGTAGAGAAAGGTTGAGAAGGGAACAATACCACATGCACATAATTATGGGCATATAGATTATCAAAGAAATTAATTCCAATTGACTTTGTCGGAATAATTGTAACAATGTAAATGAAGATATTAACCACATGTCATACAAAAGTGCTTGTGCAAAAAGCCAACTTTAGAGTATATTTGATTGGCATGGTTATGAATGGGAAGCTACTGATTTTAAGGATATCAACGTGAAGCTAATGAGCACTCATGGGAAAAAAGGGGGTAAATTCTTATTGCAGCTTTTGCAGCAATGCATATGTATGAACATAAATGTCAAGATCCATAATAAAGAAAGAAATGAACATGGAGGAAACTATTACTTGGAGTAAATTTCATATAAAAACTTTTATTAATGCAAAAAATAAATAATGCTCCATGTTGCAACAAATAGTAAACATGTGCATCTTAGAATAAGCAATGTTTCCAAACATTATATGCCATGTGTTCAAGGTAGAAGATAGCAAAAGCCCAGCGGTGCTGATACACCCTATGCTCGCTAGACTCTAGTTCAACAGACAATGAGTTCAATGACTTCAATCCAATCCCTATATTAATTAACTTCACAATCATGGTTCAATATCTAGTACATCTAGTGCATAGAGACGCTACATAGAAGTCATCCTCTATCCCCAAAGAAATCAAACATTTGATTCATAAAATATAAAAACGATCAAGAGATTCAATTTTGAGAGGTCTTGATTAAAACATTTCAATGAAAATCCAGTCAATACATACATAGACAGCTGTTTTCTTTTCTTTTTTACCTTTATAGATTTTAGTTGTTCTGCTTTTGATTTCTCTTCCAATCCAATGATCCTCCTTCATCAATATTCATGAGAGGTTGAAAAAAAACATTTCATATGCTAAACTATAAACAATGAGAAACAAAAATTTGCATGAAGCTTCACATAACAAATATGTCTTGATGTTGGATTTGCAGCTGGTTTGGCTTTAGTTGACAACTTGACACTGAAGTTAGTTGACACTGTTGTTGGATCTACACTGGTCAAGCTCTAGGTAGTCACTCATCCGTTGCTATCCTCCGCAGCCTCTGTTCATTGTTGCACTGTCGATGCACACCCACAGATCACGTGAAGATGTTTTTATAATGAAAGATTGAAAAATTACTTTAATTTAATGTAGAAGTAATGTAAAATCCTAAAAAATACTTGGTTGTGTTTATCTCACAGGGCAAAAAAATGGTGAACTGAAAATAAGATACGAACATGCAAATCCACATGTACTTGAACCTAGTGATATACAGAGCACTTTTTGTTAATATACAATTGTACGCCCACATTAGTTTCTTCACAAATGAGGAAGTGGTAAGTAAATGTCAAAACTCCACCCATTAGGTAGCATTTGTGGAACACTAACACTATGTTTGGCTCAAGGATTTTAGAAGGAAAAGAAAAGAAAATGGTTTTCCCTCATTTTCCTCACCAAAATGGAAGGAATTTGATTTTCCCTCCACTTGGTACATTTTGCCTCCTCATTTTCTTTTCCTTCCACTTTTCCTTTCTTTTCCCCTCTAACCAAACAAGAAAAATGGTTTTCCACTTCATTTTCTTTTCTTTTCCTTTTCAAATTCCTTGAACCAAACATAGTGTAAAGGGTGGACTTGGTATTTAGGTGGGAACTTATTCTTGCTACGATTGTAAAGAGGAGAATTTGTTTTCTTCTCTCTCAAAACATAGACCTCTGGTTTACATTAAACATGTTCTTTAAAAGATGTATGCATCACAAAAGCAAAACACATATCATTTTTTAATATTTCTCCAAATAAAAATAAAGGTGCACATGGTACATGTGAGAAAGGAAAGACTGGCCTTGCCTTAGTCGAACAGTTTCAGAGTACAAATCTTTCATCATGGCAAATTTCATCATCTTCTAGTTAATCTGAAGGACCATGGCACATTTCAGAGTACAGCCTTGTTCAATATTCAACAGTCTAATTAAATTTAAACATTTTCGCCTCTCCCACTCCGAATCAATTTCAGTAATTGAAAAACAAATTTATAGTCACACACCAACAACATATTAACAACCGAATACATCTACAAATGTAAAAAGTCAAAATTACCATTTAATAGAGTCTTCCCACTCATAGAGCTACTCGTTTTTGGCCTGCATATAAGAAAGGAAGGTGAATCCTAGCCATTATAAGTCAAAGAAGTATAGAGATATTTGTTGGTATTTTTTAAATTTGATTTGTTAAACAACAAATTAGATAACAATACATTAGTACTTCATTTGTTAAGAAATTCAAATAAAACATATATAAAGGGGGTTGTGGCGCAGCTTGTTACCCATTTGACCGCCACTTTTTTGTAATTGGTCAAAATGAAGATCAGAAAATGTGAAAAGCCAAAGGGAGAGATAAACCATACCAAAGTTGTTAGTTTATTTAATGCGATATTGAAAATAATTTCTTAAAATTGAAAGAGAAGTTAGAAAACAAAGAAAACAAAGAAATTAGAAGGGTTTATGCCACTTTGAAAGTTGCCCTTCGTCTGTGATGTATGTGGTGGTCATCGTCTCCTAGATGACTGCTACGGTGCCGCTATGGAAAAATAGTTAAATTGGTTCAATAATGAAAAGATACTCATTTATTAAAAGAAACTAAAACACATAGATCATTGGTTCAATAAATAGAATAACATGTAGGTCAATCAATCTTCAATTGGTAAGACAATTTGTCCTAAATCGCAAAGGAAACATCCAATCGCATCAATGAAATTGGCCAGGAAAATAATATTCAAAATTAAAGTCAGTTTAACCAAAAATAATAGTATAAATTTCATTTTCCAGATTGCTGGATAATTACTCCAACAAAATTGATGTTTGTAGAAGGAAAGAGAGGAATTGTACACCAATTTGTATCGATAACATCAATCGGAGTTGGAGATCGTAATTGGCGAAGAAGAAATCTCATACCTTTGGCGAAGAAGAGTGTAACGGGCGAAGAAGAGGGCTACGTGAAGTTCGACATGCACTGGAAACGTTTGGGACCAATCTACGAAGAGCATAGAGCCTTTTGCTAACTTTCCTCTTTCTCTTCCTCTCAGAAACAATATTTTTGAATTGATGGCCCTTCACGTTCCCCATCTACTTTCCATCATCTTCATCCCCTTTCTGATCCCTATGTCAAGTGTGATTGACCGTTCTCTTGACTGTTGTATGATTGGCCTTGATGTCGCCGATCATCATCATTTCCCTCTCAACCTCTCTCCAATCATCACTTGATTCTACACCATCACCACATCTATATAACGATGATTCGATCCACTCTCCATCTTGAATTCACTCATTTCGTTCGTGTTCGGCAGTAACTTGCCATAACTACTCATCTGTGGGACAAAGTAGAGAAGTTAGATCTGAGAAAAGATGAAAAAAGACATCCCTTTGACCCATTATTACTCATCATGGGCTAGCCTGGAATCCCACACCTTAGGGTTCATCATCATGGCTGATGCTTGTTGATGCTCTATGACTTGTTGATCTTCAGGCATCGGTTTTGCACTAAATACTTCAATCAGTCCCAAGCAGTTTTAGTATCAGAACACATGTTGTGATTATCACCTGCGTGAAAAGAGAGGAAAATCAGGCTGCTAAGAAAGACAGTTGCGGCAATGAATTTTCTTCTACTACCACATGCACACTTACACACCAAAAACAGCGTCCAATTCCAAGAGATGTGAGAAATTTAACCATTTTGCAGAGGACTTTAACTTCTCAGCTTTGTCATAGACGGATAGAGATTTGAGGGTAGAGGAGAAACCTAGCGAGAAGGGATGAGTATAAAGAAAGCTTCCAAAATTTGAGATGTGGTCTAAATTACTCTGGTAAAATAGGTCAATACCATCAAATAGGATAGCTCTAGCACCAGAATTCTTGAATTTAGATATTCTCATGACTAAATAGATCATAAAACTCATAATCTCTTTTCCATATTTGATCTCTCAACAGTGCAAATGCATATCAAGCCTGGTGTGATTTATAAAAAAAGTAATGAAATAGAATCAAGCTACATTTTATGAAAAAATATGGAACACTCACTGAAACAAAAGAGTGTTTGATGGAATGTGCTTAAATCTATAGATCAAAATCAAGCGTATAAACAAAGAAGCTTTTAAACTATCATTTTTAGTGATGGGATTTAGCTTCATGAACATGTGAAATAAGAAGCTTCAAAGGAATTTCAGTTTTTCATTTTCTTTTTTTAAGCATTACAAACAACCATCATACTCCTTGTATGAATGAAGAGTTGAACATAAACAATGACAGACTGGAATCTATTTACCCAATTGAAACCAACATTCAGCAAATTATAGATAAAAATAAAAAAATGAAAAAATTAACACATAAATATTCCTAAAGTTACTGCCTGTGTTCTCAAGCTTTGTCAACCTCTCTCAAGAACGGCGTCCAAGATCTGAATCCATGCATGTTTAGATGGAAGAAATATCAAAATAATCTCAGATATCATTTTAAATGAAAAATTAAACCAAAATTGAAATTGAAGCAATGTAAACAGCAAACCTACCAGGCCGCAACTGTCTTCGTCCCTGCAAAACCCAATTGTTGCCGCCGTGACTACATTGGAAACCCTTGGCCCGTCCATGGTATCCGGCAAACATATGGAAAAGAAATTATGAAGCTTGGAAAATAATACCCCTAAGGGGTGTAATGGTCTGTTCCTGAGGAGGAATTTACCCTAAGAAAAATTGTTTTTCGATTTCTTAGCCTTAATTACGGAAAAGGAATATAAATTAGGTTTGGAATCTAGTTATTAGGCAACACACGATTCAAAATCGATTAATTGACCGAAAAAATTGGGGAAATCATAGAGAAGTGCTAGATATGGAAGATGTATATATTAGAATCGCACATGTATTTTGGGAATTACCTGGATCTTCCAGCACGCTATGAATCCGCGAAGAATCAACGTTAACGCCTGACGGTGTAGATTTCGGAATTAAGGCTAAGAATTTGCGAAGAACCATTCCTTCTATTTCTTGAATTTGCCATATTTGGGGAAGAGGATGTTTTGGCAATGAAGAAAGAGGCGATTCGCGCAGGGGAAGAGGAATTTCCAATTTTTCTGAGAAGTGTACTCGTGTCCACTTCTTACGTGTCTTTAAATTAGAACACCTAAATTGCCACATGTCAAAATCTTAGGAATCTTAGGAATCAGGGATTTTATGGGGGTGTTGGGTGACATTAGTTTGTGGTTTTTGATGGGGAAATATTAAGGGATGTGGGTTGTGTTTCTAGGCTGGGCTGGTTCGGCCATATTACGGGGCAAAGGGTGACTGATTTGGGACTTGTTTTGGCTCTATATTGATGTGAATATTTAGTGGTTGGGGAGTGACTTCATTTGGCCAGGTTGGGGAATAATGGGTAGTGAGAATGGTTGGGTTATTTGGTGTGTTGTGGCTGATTATTTGGGGAGATTATTTTCAGTCGGGGGGGTATAATTCCACATATATCCGACCAATAATACCCTCTTATATACCACCAATTCACCAGTTACCAGGAAGCAAAATAATACAACAAATTAATCCACCAATCCCCTGTTTCTACCCCGGTACCAAACACCTTACAACCCCTCACTTACTCACAACCAAAAACCACACAACACAAGCCGATCCCCACCCTTTGACTCTCCCCACGATTTGGTCCATGAGTTAATATGGTTTTTGGTTGTTTTTGTGTTGTTTTGATGGGCTGATTTGGGGGGTTGTATTCGGCCAGGCCATGGGGCAAGTGGGAGGGATTGGCATGTGTTGTTTTGGCATGTGGTGTGGTGGTTTATTTGGTGGTTAAATTGTGAAAGTTGTGCCATGTGTGTTTTGTTAAGTAATGGATGTTTTGTGGCTCGTTTAGGGGACATAGTGGGGGCCTTGTTGGGTGGATGTTTTAAGGGGTAAATGCGTTGGTTTTGGCTTTTTGTTTTTGACCAACTTAAGGGTTATGAAGGGGGGTTTTGTTGGGTGTGTTTTAACATGGTCTTGAGGGGTGAATGAGGTAGGGTTTTGGGGAAGGTGGGTTCGGCCAAGATGAAAAGGAGAAGGGGGAGAATGGTTAAGGTTTGGTGTTGTTTCTGGATTGTAGGGATTGAGGAGGATCATGGGTTTAATGGCCTTCAAAATGGATCATATAGCTTAAACATAGGTCCTCGGCTTCCTCCGGGAGTGTAGGGTATAGGGGGAACCATGATGAGGCTGAGCCAAGATATATCAAAAGGTGTAATAAATAAAGTAAGTGGGGGTAGTTGTGGTATTTTAAATGTTAAAAAAAGTAATGAGATGGTCTATGTGGGACAAATAAAAAGGGCTAATGGGAAAATCTATGGGGGACGGAGGGAATATAAAATTGTGTAGTTCCATAAGCAGAAAGGATAAAGCTATTAAAACCCTACCTTATTTTCCACAAGTTCTGCAATCTTCGGAACGAGGGATGCTTTGTTTGTCCGGTAAGGTATCTGTTCCAATCATTTTAAAAATGAAAAAAACCAATTAATTTATTCAACCCAATGATATCCATGAGAAGAGAGCAAACATCCAAATAGCAGTATAGTTCAGAGGGAAAGGAAATTAAACCTCCTTATAATAATTGCAGTACGCTTAGTTTTAGAATCAAGAAGTTCAACATCAGTCTTCCCTCTTACTACTATTTGTCCTCTTCCAGTCCGGTATGCTTCCAAGATTCTTTGGACTACCTTAAATATTTTGGAAAAATTGATATAAATACTCCCAGAAATTTGAAATTTTACAACAATACTCCCAAATTTAATAAAAGACTCTGGTGCTCCCAATTAAACTATAAGTTTACATTGGTACTCCCACTATTCCTAATCAGCTTTTCTTATGCTTACATGTAAGTAATTATGCTTAGTTGACATCTTAGTTGTTCTTTTTGTTTTAATAAGAGAAAAAAATTGTATAAATACTCTCTGAAATTCAAAATTTTACAATAATCTCTCAAAACCAAATAAAGATTCCAGTACTCTAAAAAATATCTTCCTTTTACGTGTTATGATGTTTAATAAAAGTGGTGTGAAATCAAAAAATAAAATTATATATCTAAAAACTACATTATAAGATCTATAAAACTAGTAATGATATAATTATACTCTCTCCGTCCCCCATAGATCTTCCCATTACCCTTTTTATTTGTCCCACATAGATCTTCTCATTACCTTTTTTAACATTTAAAATACCACAACTACCCCCACTTACTTTATTTATTACACCTTTTTCACCTTATTTAATACTCCCCACCCATTTTCATTAAGGGTATTTTGGTAAACTTTCACCTTTTTTCAACTCTCCTTAAAAACCGCAAAAAATCAAAACGAGAAGATCTTAGGGGGACGGAGGGAGTATTATTTTATCAAATACATAATTAAAATAGATAAGCAAAGTAAATAAAATTTGATCTTGTTAATACTCTTGATAGTGAATGAGAAGATAATTTTTGGACAGAGGGATATTTTTTATTAAAATATAAAAAACTACTTAAGATGCCAATTAAGCTCAATTAATTAATCTTGCAGCTGCATCAAAAAGGGTTGCAATTCAAAGCAAACACAGTTACTAGAAGTGTGAATCAGTGGGCTAACTTTAATAATGTTTATTTTGATGATCAATCCAAATTAAAGTGTCATGGATCTTCTCACATTAGTTTTGCATCATAAGATCTTTTGAAAGTGATATTTTAGCTTTCAGGCCTGACTGCACTTAATGAATGTAAGTTTAAATGATCATGTTATGTGGCACAGACATCCAACATCAAGTTTTGTCAAAATGTCATATAGCTGTGTAAGCACAATATTTCTGCCATGACAAGTTGACAACATGTATAAAATGCATGAACTCAGACGTTATAATATTCCATCATGGAGTTCGAGTTTCTCACGCCCTTCCAAAACTAAGCTAAAACCAAGTATATCTCTCGCTTTTTCTATCATGTCCAATGGAGCCAATGATTCACTATTTTTTGGTTTTGGGGTATGATGAAATAAAGCAAAATCGCTCTTTAAAATGTTTGTGACTCTGCCCTTCTTTAATAGTGATTGTCTTGAAACAACCGCTCTATGTTTTAAACATAGAGGTCAAGGTGCTCACATCCGACCCCCCCTCACCCCACAAAGGGTAGGAGTCTTTGAGGAAGAGGGGTAATGTTGTTGTATAAGACTAGACAAGTCACTAATACAAAAGTCCCAGCACCAACAAATTTGCCAATTTTAGTCATAGACTGATGATGACCGCTAAAAAGCACATTCCACTATGACATTGATATCATCAATCAATGCAAGAAGTCAGATGTGATAATATTATGCTATTTTATTTGAATAAATTTCCTGCTCGTAAAATATTATGCTAAAATTATTTGGCATGACGTGTGGCTAAACAAGTCACTTCCTAGGAACACATTAAAGACTCAAGTTTAATCTTAGATACAAAAACCACACCACCTAGAGGTTTGCAAAGGTTTCTTAGACTTAGCATGTGGACTGTAGCGATTAAAGGAATCCAAGTATCATCCTTCAAGGCAAGTAAACATGTGCCCCAGTACATATATATGACAACATGAAAGACCAAAGCAGATCTAATGCATATTAATTTTACAGAAATAAGGAACCAAGTTGTCAATCAAGAGATATTAAGGTTTAACACGAAGGCAAAGGCAGAAAGCAATAAAGATCAAGCTTGACCCAGGAAGTGCAGCATTATCAATGGCCAGAATGAAAAAAATGATTCATACAAAAGATTATCAGAAAAAAGAATGAAATAAAGAGAAAGCATGATGAAGAGTTAACACATATGTGTCAATGTAGGAGAAATGGCCTTCTTCAGGTTGAGTTATTACATGTTTTGGGTTAAAAATCAAGACCACTGTTACAATACTAAATAACGCTCCCAGTTGGATCTGGATTAATAATGCGAAAATGCATCTGCTTTTCTTTTTTGGGGAAAAAAAGAGACTGCTAGATTGCAAATGATGGCATGGAAATAGTCAAAGAGAAACAAAAAAGGAAGCTCCAACAGAATAAATGTACTTTCAAAATGGCAAAGTGAAATAACAAATCTCAAAATGGCAATGAGAAGTAATCTCAACATAGCAAAGGGAAATAACTGAATTCATTTTTACCGTTACTTCTGGGTTATGAATTAAGGAAGACATTGCATCAACAAGTTCTCCAAGATTGTGTGGAGGGATATTTGTGGCCATGCCAACCTGAAAGCATAAATAGTGAAAGCATAAATAATGGAAAAATCGCATGACAAAGGGATATGTAAACTGGTAATCTGGTATAGAAATAGATGGAAGAGAACATCTAACTATTTTCTAGATCAGACCGATTACCGCAATTCCAGAGGCGCCATTCAGAAGCAGATTCGGGATTCTAGCGGGGAGTAGAGATGGCTCTTTTTGTGAGTTGTCAAAATTTGGGACAAAATTAACCTGTTAACCATCATATAAGAAGTGACTAACTCAGAAGTAAGAAACTTATAATTAACATGTAATATAGATGACATACTGCATTTTGATCTATGTCTGAGAGCAGCATTGTCTCTGTAAGTGCCTGAAAATGAAACGATTTATTAGCATCGTCAGCAACGAAAACCATGGGGCTACAGTTTACCAACTAGTAAACATACCCTACTGAAATGAAGGGGTTATCTGATTAAATATGAGGATCAGAATTAGAATATGAAACTTAGAAAAGATAATGGGTATTGGCAAAGAGGCTTTACCCATCAGTATAATGCATAAATGGTCATTAACATTAATTTTAACAAAATATTACATCTGATTTTTGTTACATTCCCCTCCCTCTCTTCAGGCAGCAGCCATTGTGATATCAAGATGAAGCACGTCTCGTACAGACCTGATTGCTCTTTCAACTCTTTGATTCAGTATAACTATCCTTCTAGTATCACCAGTCACCACTTTCAATAAGCCTATACTAGTACTCAGGTTCTGGAACCTATCCAGCAAGGGTGGATGGTGCTGATGGTGAGGTAGTGATGCAGCAGCAATGGTGGCCAATGTGATGAGAAAGCTGGGTAAGGCCGTGAGTGAGATGGTGGCATAGTGATGAGGAAAATAGGAAAGGTTGAGAGATGGAGGTGGTGTGGTTGCTTTAGATTATTTTCTATAGGGCTATTTTACAAAAACTCTTTTGGGCCAATGCACTATAAAGTTTCTTAAGACAAACTTAATAAACCTAGTAGATAATTATCACTTCTTTCCAAGACTTTTAGCGTCAACTTTCGTCTCTCCATCTTCAACCGTACTTCTCTTCATCTTGAGACTTCAGTGGAAAAACTTCACTCCTTTGGTAACCGCTAAGGCAATTACTTCATATTTAATGGCTTATCTCCTATTTCTTTCATCTTCTTCTTTCAACTTTTAATTTTTTTGGTTCCTTCTTTTCCAACATCCCTCTCCCTCTTTTAAATCCGGTTCAAACTTCAAAGAATGATGTAACTTTTTTTGCGTGAACTGTTGTACATATTTAATATTTATAAGGTTTGAAGATGGGTTTGAGACATTTGTGTTTATGTTACTGTGTTTAATCTTTATAATTCTATTTCTTTTGTGTTTTAAAAATTAAGATAGGGTATCATTTTTTGTAAAATTCAGGAATTATGATTTTATCATTTATTTAACATGAAAATGGATTATGCATTTCGTTTTACCTCGGTGTACATATTTTGGTATTACTTTTTTCAAAACCTTGATTGATGTTACATGGTAAGCTACTACAAAATCCCTCTAATGTTCCACCACCTACCTAAAGGCATGAGTAATCAAGTGAACTAAGAGGAAAATACACATTTACTGCCTCTTAATTAGACCTGGCAAAACTGACCTAAACTCGATAACCTGAACCAAATAACTCGGAACCGAACCCGATTTGACCCGAAAACTGAAGACCCAAAACAGAACCAAACACCCGAAATGATCCAAACCAAACCGAATGTACTCAGACCCGATTCTGATCTGAATCCAATTAAACCCGAACCGATTAAACCTGAACCGATAAAACCCAAACCCGGTTAAACCCGGAACCGATTAGACCCGAAATTGATTGAATTTTATGTACGTCCGTGTTAAATAATAAAATAACTACGAAGTATATCACAAATTGATTAAATTTATTATGTGATATTATTGATTTATTAGTAAATATTTCAAATATATCTGAACTAATATAAACTTAAATCGATACAAACCCGAATCAATATAAACTCGAATCGATACAAATCCGAACCAATACAAACCCGAACTGATATAAACCCGATCTGATACAAACCCGAACCGAAACTGAACCAAAACCGAAAACCAGTCAAGCCGAAATAAACCCGGAACCGAACTGACCCAAACCAAACTGACCGGAACCGATTATAACATATATCCGATTGAGACCCGAACCAAAAAAACCCGAACCCGAACCGGAACCGAACCGATTGCCAAGTCTACTCTTAGTTGCTGCAGATGATATCAGCAACAACAAAAACAAAAATGCCTATGAGTGATGACCCAACTAGAAACAAGTGAAAGATGAAAGCCATTAGAATCCCAGGATAAAATAGTAACTTCATGATGAATGATTTCTTGCTACAAAATATATGATACCAAAAGACATACCGGTTCAGGTTCCTTGGGAATTCGAAACTTGCTTTGCTCATTAGTGAGAAGATGAACAATGAGCTCGCGCTGGTTAGATACATTGTCTTTCTGCATAACAATCCAAGTACAGTCATCGAATTATATTTCAAAGGGAGAACAAAAAAGGGAAAAAAGAATAAAGTTTTACGGGCAAGGAAAGAAACTACATGCATAAAATACAAACAAAAACATCAAAGCGCATATTATTAGTGTGCCCTTTTCATTAGTCTGTTGTTACCCTAAGCTAAAACAGTGTCAAATGAATGTATTAACTCCCTTGGCAATGGACACTGAAGCCCCAAAATCAGTAATAAGAAAAAACCTGATGGACCATAAGTGAAATAGAAAACAAGAACTGATCACAAGACCTTTTGGTTGTGTGAATGCAAGGAGAACAAAAATTTATGTTGCCAAAAAAGAGTGCATAGTTGTAACTTGTATATAAACAAATTTTCCATGGTGAAAAGAAGAATATACCTTAAGTCCTTAATTACAGACATCAACCCAGTCTTGAACTGTAATACACCCCTACCCTCACAATTAGCCTTGAACTAGAATACATATATACTCGAAAGCGCACACTCATAAAGCTATGGAAGAAGAAGCCTAAACAAATGTAAGAAACCTCATCCATAGCCTACTTAGTGAACCTTTTTTATACTCCCTCCGTCCCTATTGAACCTTCCCATTTTGGATTAAGAGAATTGCCTCTGAATGGTTAAGTATTATACAGAGTCTGAATGGTTAAGACCTCCTATCTGAATTGATCAGACATTTGCCTCTGAATAGTTCAACAATATACTAGCTCTTAATGGTTTAGACCTCTTACTGGTTCAGCACTTAATGGTTTAGACCTCTTACTGGTTCAGCACTTACCTATTCAGAAGTTGTCAAACAGCCCTAGAATCTCCATGTCAAGAGACTTTCATCTGCATTAGCAAAGTTTTTGATACTTGAATAGTGTTCCAGCAGCTGCTTCTGAAATAGAACACAGAAATACAAAGCCTACATTAACAAATAAGAACAACAACATAAGGATGTGACTATGGGCGTCTAAAGTATTTTGAGATCTTATTCACATGACACATATGTGCACCTGAAAAAGATAATGATACATATATACACCCTCTAACACCAAACAAGTTTTTGTTGCCTAAGTGTTGGTTTTATTTTATTTTATTTTTCTTACAACACCTATCCAATTCTTGTTGTCTAAGTGCTTTTTTTAGTATAACAAATAGCCTCTTCAAAAAAGACACCATAAAAAAATTAAAAAGAGACCATAAGAGATTAGATTACCTTACATTGTCATTTGAATCATGAAGCAGTAAAAATCCCTTCTCTCTTGTTAGCAAAATCTTGAGAATTTGAGAAGTAAAAAAAACATCATAATACAGTGATAAGCCGATAAGGGATAACAATCTCAGATATTATAAGAGATGAACAGAAACATAAATTAAATAAGGGTTCATAAATTCAAAAATGATTCCAAAATACCACGTTAAATTAATACCCACATTGTCCTAAAATAAGCATATAAATAAATACAGTCTCAAATCCAACTATTAATATTTACAGAATAACATGAGTACATTATGAAAAATCTTACACAATTGATCAGGAACACAAAACGAAATGATATACAGAGTATTTTAATTGCAAAAAAAACACTCAGAAACCGACTTTTTGCAAATATGTAAAATGCTTACAAGTTATTTCACTGCAAAACAGAACTTAAGAAAAAGTTGGTAAATTAATTACTTACAATACATGTCACTAACAATAAATTAGCTCGACTTGCAATCCTGGAACCCCGACCATGTTATAGAAAGATTTATATTTCAATATTGCTGTTGTCTTTAGAACTTTCTCAAAATTCAAAACCAAAGCTTTAAGAACATATGAGGTATTGAAAATAAAACATCCCCTAAGAAAGATAAAAAATGTGTAGGTGAAAGTGAAACGAATTAAGGTAGTGTTTGGCAACTAGCATTTCATTTCAATTCATGCATTTCAATTCCAAAATTTAAAATCTTGAAATTCAAATAACAAGAGGAGGAGCATGGATTTGAAATTAAGCTTTGTTTTGAATGAGAAGAATTTGACTTAAATCCAAATTCAAATTTTTTAAGTTTCCCAAACATGTGATTTGAGCTAAATCCGGATTTGAAATCCAAATCCATGTTCCCAAACATACCATAAAATAATTTGAAAATCAATGAATACTAACAGTAAAGAGAAAGTGAAATGAATTAAAATAATTTGATTTACCTTGTTGAAGTGAAATAAAAGGTAATCTCAAAGAAATATGGAAGCTCAGTAAAATAAAAGCATATCCCAAAGCATTCAATTATCCTGTAGAACTATCCCAAAGCATTTCTAGTGCCCAGTCAAACCTGCAATAAAAGCCTAGACTGCAACTTCATCCAACAGGAAAAGAAGTATGTGCTAAGTACACTAAGAGAAAGTATACCCATTTGAAAAAGTTTTAGAACAATTATTTATGCAAAGTATATTATGAGCTCGTGTCCATCGACTAGTATAATTTAAATGTAGTGAGTTAGACGTAAATTATTATCGTGATGAGGTTTTATGTTTGTTTGGAAAGAGTGAATGGAGATGTTCTAAACACTACATGGTTTTGGAAATGGTAATCTTTTGGTTTGGGTTTAGGTCTATTTTTTATCTTGTTCGTTGTGTTTTAGGCTTGGATGGATGTACCTGTTTTTGCAAATGTAATGCAAAGTATCAATTTTATTTTTTAGTACTATTGACTCTATCACAATGAAATGCATGGGACTATGAGAGAAAATATAGAAACCAACCTTTTGTGGACTGACGTTATTCTAAAGCAGAGGCGGCAGAGCAATTCCCTGCAAACTTCTTTTTATTTTTACCATAGTACTTTTCAAGTGTCTAATGCAGGTCTGCAGGTTCACATTCTTCACTTTAATTGATCTTTTTAAGCAACTTTTTAGTGATTCAATAATAGAGGTAGCATTGAGGATATGTATTTTCTAAGCAACTTTTTAGTGATTCAATAACCTCCAAATAACATTAATACAAGCAAATAACATTAAATATAAGTGCTTTGATGTGTGAATTGAGAACAATCATGATCTAGAAAACAACATTTGCAGTCAATGTATCGTGCAAATATGAAAAATACTTCAAAATATAAACATGACAAATCCAACAATAATATAAATACATTATAATACAATGAAAAAACATGGAAGGATATAATCTCGAACCATTCTAAAATCAACCTTATCAAAGTTTATAAAATTAAATCATTGCATTGGGATTTTTGAGGTCGCATTAGAAATAAGCATAAAAATCATATATTTTTACAATATCAATTTACCCAAATTAAAACATTGTCAAAGACTACTCTTTTAGATGAAGCAGCAATGGGCATAACAATTTGAATATGTTTTAACAGCAATCAAATTCTTGATGTTTCCATGCTTATTACTAAATATAACCAAAAATATTATATTAGATTGAAGAAAGTTTATTTTTATGTACCTGGTCAATTCCCTTCGTACTCTTGTACCACAATCTTTTGCCTTGTTTGTGTTTGGTAGAGCCAACCTTTTTTCCACCTTGTTCCAAGTTGAGGGCCAAAGATTTTGAAAATCTAAAATCCTAAATAACAGAAGTCTAGAAGTGCTACTATTAAGAAATTGGTACAAAAAGAAGAAGAGTGTGTTACCCCTCTAAATTCATTCAAAGTTATCTGCTCGAATCCAACTATCAACCATGAGGGCTATCAGTGCAACCGTCCCTAGATAGAAAAGTACATTATTCAGTTTGAGGAAATAACGATGTGAGAACTATTTTTGGATAAAATTTGTACTTATCTATGTTTTTTGTTCACGTGCAGTTTTAATTATGGCGAAATATTAAATCCTTTTTTCCACTAATATGATAAGATCCTTTGTGGGATGCCCAGGTAGAGTGCATCCGTGCATTTTTGCCTCAATGTTAGATAATGTGTGCCTTTTCAATGAGTTGTGGCCTCAACTTCTCAAAAGGCTTCCTGCAAAAAAATTGGGAAGGTAACACTCATCTTCAAATAATATAAAATACAATCACCATAAGTTATAAAGATACGAATCAAAGAAGATATTTCACAAATGGGATTTCATAAATAAGTTAAAGAAATATAAATCATTAAATCTTAAGAAATAAGAACATAGACAAAACATATGACAAATAGTGTTTAATAGATATAAACCAAGCTCACAGAAGGGATACCAATCGTGACAGCTTCTCCTTTGGTTAACTCTGCAAGGATGCCTAATACCTATGCTAGCAGAGCAAATGCTTAATCCATATGTATTGAAGGTAGGTGCTGAGTGTTAAGAACTATTAAGGTAGTTTGGAACAGATCAATCAATCAACTGAAGTGAGTGATGATTGAAGTCTAATCTCAATCTTTGTTTATTATTTTTTAATGAAAATGTTTGGTAAAAAGGTTTCTTTGGGGGTGAGGAAAATCAACAAATATGTGCTTGTTTCTTCCACCTTCATGGGTTGCAACAAAAAATATGGTCGTTGATGCTCAAAACAGCCTACAAAATGTGGAGATACGGCTATAGCTACTTCACGTCAGACTTTACCTTGCCCTCATCCATGTCTCCCATTTCATAACCCCAACTAACAGCCCAAGGCTTTCCCTTAACAATAAAATCATCAAACTTGGAAAGTAGCATGTCATATTCCAAGCTAACTACTTTAGATGTGGGTTCAAAGCCTCTTAATCTCAGCATTCAATCTACCTTTATTTTTCATTGAAATAAAAAGAATGCGGACTACTCCCCCTCAAATCTGTCTAGGGAACCCTATACCAAACCTAATGTTGATTTGATGAAATTTTTTAAAGAATAATAATGCAACCATGTTTTTTCCTTCAAAGTAACCTAATCATCACATTTCTCCATGTTTTCTCATTATCGCAGATTAATCAAAATTTTTTATAAAGGAGTAACTAAGTTGTTTCTCTCCCAAATTAGATTTTTGGGGTATTCATATTTCGCACGGGCTCGTATAATCTCACGATATATATAATCTAGTGTGTGTGTATAAGTGAAATTTATTCATTTCGAATTTCATGTGTGTTTGTGTGTGTGTCTATATATACATATACATATACATATATACATACATACATACATATATACATATATACATATATACATACATATATATATATATATATATATATATATATATATATATATATATATGAAATTCAAAATGAATAAATAAGTCACTTATAAATTTCACTGGTAAAATTAAGCCACTACGATATATTAAGATAATAATACCTACCTTATAGAGTATATATAAATAAATCCCTAAAAGGTAGTATATAGTTGGCTTGCATAGTACTATCTCTTGCCCCTTGATGGCTCTTCAGATATAGATCCTTTCAAAATCCAAATCTCTTGCAGATAATGCATACAATTGGCAACATCGTAGAACAGTGAACAATTTATTCAATCTAAAATAAGTTTGACTTCAGTTTTGGAGCAGAATAAGAAAAGTTAAAGACAAAAGAAGCAGAAATTTGTATTTCAGAACATAATTTCTCTTACTATTGGTTGAATAGGCATGAATTCTTTCTAATCCAGTAATATTAAGCTTTTAGGCATAAGGTTAAACTTACTGTTGTTTGGACAACTACTATAAACATTTCTCTCATTTCACACTTATAGGAAATGAAATGAGTTAATGTGCTTCATGTTCTTACCAAAATTATGATGACTTGTCTTAAATATCTAAAAGATACGATAAGAGTATTCTAGACACAAATGACTGACAAACTCATGTAATAAAGGGTTTATTAGGCATCTTATATTCATTTATTAGAAATGAGATTTTCAGAAAGTAGACTACCAAACTTGTGCAAAGGAAGTAGTAGTTATAAGAATCAATAGATCAGTAACGTACCCGCTCTCGGACAATGTCATGCAGTGTATGGTGTACATCCTTAGCCATCTCTTTGGGATCCCCACATACATATAGATACCCCTCTTTTGAGATTAAACTTCATAAGGTTGAGGGCTGCAGTTTAATTGAAATACAACGCAAACACCACTCATTAAAAAACAACCATCCTCGAGACACCACATATACAAAACAAACACCACTCATATCAAAAACATATTTTATAGGACGACGACTTTTGTCTCTAGAAATCTAATTTTACCTTGAGATGAAAAGTCTCGAAGATGCTTTTCTCATTAGCTTTAATGGCCTCTTTGAACATCTGTTTGTCCTCCACATGTGTCATTGTTTGCTCCTTAGTTTTCTGTTCATGCCATCAGTGTGTCAGCATTTAAAAATAATAGTAGATAAGTTTAAAAAATAAGAACCAAAAACACCACTCAAGAAGATTAAGAAGTTAACTGGACAGCTATGAAATAGCAGCTGACCAAGAAGAACGTTAACATGCCATTTCAAAACAAAACCAATGAATAAGATCTTGATTTTTGAGCCTTTTTCGGGGATTTGGATCACTTCTAAGAAGCTTTTTCCTCTATTCCCAAAGTCTTTGAAAGTCGAATCGGGTTGATGTTTGGAAGAAGTTGTGGCTTCTTGCATCAATTTTCTAACTCTTCCACGTTCCTCAACATCAACTGATTGAATTGAAATTTGAAAATAAACATTTAAAAAGAAAGAAAAGGAAAGATAAAGACAAAATGGAGAGCCCCTTTCACAGTTCACACCTTATTCAACTTTTAGGTAACTGATTGATTGATTCTGAGGTAGTGAGGTAACCCATTGATTCTTTTTAGGGGGTAGTTAGGTGAAACTGATTGGACATTTAGGGGGCTCTCCAGTTTCACCAATCCCTTTCAGAGTTTTAGTTGGAAACCAATGATATGTATTTGGAAAAAAGGAAAAAAGAAAAAGGAATGTGCAGGTAGTTGTCACCAAGGATGCTATGGAGGTTGATGATGACTTTATCTTCAGCCTCAGTGAAATTTCCACTCTTCAAATCTGGCCTCAACCAGTAGTCCATCCACCTCAACCTATAGCTCTTCCCGTAAGCAGCCCTATTTTCATATCATTCAATCAATTCAATCCAGCCAAACAAAGAAAATCCAAAATTTAAATTTACTCTACATTTAAGTAACAGTTATCTTCGTTGCTTTCACATTTAAGTGAGGCAGTTTAAAATAATTTATTGACCATATTGTTTTCAATAATAATAGGCATGAATGTGAGAAGCATTCACAAATTCATATATACAATAAGTTCAATACATGGCGTCATTACCTGCAAGTTCAGCATGTTTGTTGATAAGCCCGTCAAGTATTTGAGAACAGTTACATATATTTGGATTATTTTGATAACTAACAATTTAAGATCTGCATAACATCAAAAATAAGAAAATAAAAGGACATAAATTAAAAAACAATTACTATTGGTGTATTGGCTAGATATACAAGAATGCTATCTACCACTCAATCTTTTAAGCATAAGGATGAACTTACTATTTTCTG